GCGTTAGTTTCAGTGGAGTGGGAGGAGTGGGGGAGGCAGTAGCCCAGGAATGCTGTGCAGCACGTGACCTGTCATTTGGTAAGTGGGGGCAAGAGGGAGCTAACTTGCATTTGGCATCTTCTTTGAAGGCAAAGCTTTGTATGGAGATACTTTATGTTCTTCTTAGTAAATATTTGAGTGCCTGTTGTGCTCCAGGCACTGTTCTAGGTGCTAGTGACACAGGATGGGGAAGTATCTGGCTCTTCTTGAAGTTCTGTTACAGTGGGAGGAGGCAGAAATAAGCAGACATAAATATTAAGAGAAAGTAATGACAGTTATATAGAGAATTAAACTTAGGAGATCTGAATGGAATGAACCACCCACGTGAGGGTTAAAAGGCGGAATATTAGTGGCGAAAGGAACAGCTAATGCACAGGCTAAAAGGTGTGAACCTGGCATATTGTAGCAGCAGGAACAGCTAATGCACAGGCTAAAAGGCGTGAACCTGGCATATTGTAGCAGCAGAAAAGACTAGGGCATTTAGAGCATATAGGCGAAGGGGGGTGGTGGTGGCCGGCGGGTAAGCACATCGCAGAGTGGGGGGAAACTTGAACTCGGAGAATATGACTCCTCAGATCCTGCAATAAATAAGTGGTAGAATTAAATTCATCTTTTAAAATCCAAAGCCCTAGTTTTCTATATATGATGCTGCTTCCTAATGGTTTTGAATGTAAGTTAACTGAAAAACTGTTTGATAGTGAGGGTTTTACTTTTTTGCAGAAGTAAAGAGTGGCCTAGGAGAAAATGCTAAACGTTTTTAAAAACATGTACAAGGACTATATGATTACTTGCTCAGAATCTGTGAGTTGAGTGGAAGTTTGAAATCTGGGAGTCCTCTCAGAGCAAGGCTAATGACTAAAAAAAATTTTCAGTAACATTTTCATTTATCAGATACTTATTGAGTGCTTACTGTGTACTAGGCACTAAGGTGCTGGGGATTTATATCACTGAAAAAGAGACATGGTCCTTGCCCTCTGGTCATATGTGAGGGTGCTTATTTTAGTACATCCTCATCAACAGTAGGTTTTAAAAAAAGAATTTGCCAATCTGATAAGCAGTAATGTTTTCTCATTGTAACTTTCTGTGATTATTCATATTAGGTTTTTTTTTTCATGTTTTGACCATTTTTATGTCTCTTGGTTCATTTTGAGTTCAAGGTCTATGGCTTACTTTCATTTGGGAGTGTCTGAAACTCATGAATTCTGTCTTAGTAATTGTTATAGAGATAATTTTTTAGGTTTGGAAAATAAGGCAGTGCTTCCATGATTGAGCGTAGTGATATTTCTAAAATGCATTCCTCTCTTATCTCATAACCCTTCATTGTTTTAAAGAAATTTGTATCATTTGCTGGCCTATGGATGCAACTAGTAGCCAACCCAGCTTTATAGAAAATTGCCTTGAAGCAATACTGTCTCTACTCTCTCTACTTGTATCTCAAGCATTTCAGGTGATTGTTGATTTCAAAACTTAGATCTAGTCAGGATTTATAACAACATGATTGAGGTAGGTTCTGTTTAAGTCTTGGTGCACAAGAAAAACTTGTCTCTTTGCAATTCTAGGAGTCGTGTTTCACTCACCCATTGCTTGTGTATTTATTTTCTTACCTTTTGTGCTCTGAAGGTAAAGGAGAGGACAAGACCTGTTATCTTTAATTTTTGCCTAATATTCTAAATTGCTGTTTCAGTTCATTTGTTTTAAAATGTAACACAATTCCAAACTTAAAAAACTGATAGTCTTGTATTTTGGCAAAGTCTCTTAAGCATATTTAGTTCTTGAAGACTTGTTTTTAAAAGTGACCTATTTTACATTACTCCATATACAGTTTTGCATTCTTTTGGGGGTGGAAAAATCTGTTTTTATCATATTCTTGAAACATTCTTTGACTTGCTGTGGATCCTTTCCCTTTTCCTTGCACTGGGATCTTTTTAAAATTGACGCTTCCATAACTTAGGCTTGTGAGTAAGCCATAATGAGATGGAAGGTAGTCCCTGAGCTGTATGTCTTCTTTCTATCTAGTCTTGTGGTCCTGGCAAACCATTGTTATTTTTTAATCTGTTTAGCTAGATTGTGAAGAGCTAGGGCTCTGCTTTTATCAACTTTGTACCCATGGGTGAAAGAACCTTTCTGGGGTTCCTTACTAATAAGGTAAAATAAATGGGGACAAGAGGATTGTTACTATTGAATAGCAGAATGCATGTTTGGAATTGTGCCCAACACATAAAGGCCCTTAAGTATCAGTGTATTCCTAGTATCTTTGTATTTTCTGATTTGCCAGTTTCACCAAGTTGTTATAAAGATCATGTGTGAGAATAGATGTGAAAGCACTTAGTGTACGTGATTATAGAGAATTTCGTAGTCCTGATAATGAGCACTTTTCTTTACACAGCTCATGTTTAGATACCAAGTCACCTATCTTAATCACTTTTTTATTGTTAGAGGAAATAAGACTCTATTATGTATACATATTATAATAATTATCTTAAAACCAAGTAATTTCCCTTTTAGAGTTGTTCTACTAAATAGCTTCTATTTAGTTTCTGTGATGCTAAAATTTAAATGAGTACCAACATCGTTTTCTGTAGTTTACAGCTGAAGTTATGTATCATGCTGAGGCAGCTGTTAAGGCTGGCTCACTACTGGTCAATGCAGCTATGAAGGAAGGAAAGTGTTTTCAGTTACTAAGTGAGGATGATATTTTTAAACGTCACCTAAATTCACAAATTAATACATCTACTCTTGACCTCTTTCCAGAGTCCTATATCCCCAGCTGCTTTTTGAATATTTCCGCTTGGATATTTTTGCTGTTGTTTCAAACTCAACATCTCTAAAACTGAGTTCATGATCTTGCTTTCAGAATTAGTGCCCTCTCTGATTTTCTTTTTACTATTAATGATACTATCATTTCCTGGGTTGGGCTTGATCATCTTTGATTGATTGCCATTCTGACCCCCTCTCTTTGGTTTATTCCTGGGTCCTTTTGGGCTTCTGTTTAGTAGTCTCTTTTGTCATTCACTTCCTGTTTTCTCTGCTGCCTTCCAACTTCATTTCCTTCGCTCTGTACCCTTCCATCTCTGATTTTTATCACCATATTGAGTACCAGAGTAATGGTCCTCAGACATCATTCTTAATGTGTTACTCTCCTTTAAAACTGTATTTTTAAAGCAATTAAATAAAGCAGTTCCTTTTTAGCTATTATATATAGGCCTCATGTTTAAGAGAGAGCTTTCTTTCAAATGTTGTCACCAACTTCCTCTCCCAGCTTTACCTCTCACATCTCTCCTTCGCTAACCCTTTTCTCCACCCAGTGGTTCAGTGTCGTGTCTCTTCATATTGTCCTTGATCTCCTTCTCTCTTTCTGTTTAGAAAGCCTCTTTTTTTCCTGCTTATACAAATTCTGCCCATTCTTCCTGTTTCTTTAGCATGAAGTCGCGTCACCCACTGTGATGCTTCCTCCTCTGAACTTAAGGACTTCATTTCTTTAATTTGGCGCTTAATCATTTACTGCTTAGTATTGTTTCCAAATTCTGACTTGCTTAACTTCACTTGTCTGCCTAGTCTTTTTTTAGATTAAGGGCTCCTTGAAGATAAGGATTATTTCTGATTCCTTGAATTTCCCAGAACCATGCTGGTATATAAAAAATGAACATGCAATAATCACTATAATATTGTTTGATGAGAATATTTTTCTAATAATAGGAGCTTTTCAAAAACATTTAGGTAAAAATTCCTAAGGAATATGTCAATACTTTAGTGATTATATTTTTTAAATGCTGGTTTTTATTAGTACGGTGGCTTACTTTGAGCTTATGTTAAAGCTGCCTGTTCAGCAGACTCCTAAAATCTGTGATGGAGGATGGCTGGCCTCGAAACCTCACTTTACAAAGAGCAGGCAGGTGAGGAGCTGGCTCAGTACTGAGGAGTACTGAGCACTCAGGAGCTGGCTCAGGCCAGCACTGTCAGCTTCTGCGATCGCTGCTCTAGTGAGCTTGTGACTTAGATGTCCCGCCTTGCCTTTTGGGAGACTGACCTTATTCTTGTCCTGGGATTGATGAAAAGCAGAGAGCCCAGGTGAGGGGTAGGGAGGGAGAGGAAGAGATGCAGTAGAAAAGGCAGAGAACCCGTAAAACAGTGAGATGTGTTTTGTTTGATTTAGTAATCTTGCTGCCATCAGATGCAAATCAGCTCTGAGGTTGATGTGGAAGCAGACCTTCTTCAGGGGAAGTGGCTATTAGAGGGGAAACTTGGGAGGATAGTTTGGCTTCCTTCCCATGGCCCATTTGCTCTTTCTGTGTATCCCCTGAATGGACCAGTTGGGCTTTTTGAGGCAGGATGAGGAGTGTTCAGTGGGAAGATGGGGATAACACTGGTTTCCCAGTATAGAAGAGTAGTCCTTTCCTAGACTGGCTCTCACTGCCCCCCGGAAGCTCAGCAGGCTGAGCAGGAAAGGAGGGCCAAGGGCTTGGGCTCGGGAATAGAATGTGTCAGGCAGTTCCTGTTTGGCAAGTGACTAGCCATACAACTTTGGGCTAACACTTTTATACTCTGGTGGCAAGGCCTAGCAATGCCCTGAAATGTGTTTACGGTGCATTTCTTGGTTGACTGCTTGAACATCAGGGGATTCACTGAGACTAGTTTTTAGGAATTTTTTAGCTCATTTTGTGTATTTAAGAATGCATGTGTGGGAATACTTTCCCCAGACTCACTAGACTCAGAGAATTTTTCTCCTTGTTTGCTTTGTAGTTTCTTTTTATAATATACTTAGAGTGTATCATCTGTAAAGGAAAATTCTCTTTCTCATTCCAGATCATCTGCTAGGGACTAATAAATCATCTTTTCAATTGAAGGGTCATTATTATTTTTAGAAGAAATCTTAACGTCTATGATGTAAATAATAATTGTTAAGTTAATTATGTTTCTTTAATAAAATCTTACAAGATTTTCTTTTCCTTTAATTTTTGTAGAAAATGTGCCAGAGGAGCTCGGAGAGCCATTTTACACAGATCAGTATGACCAGGAACACATCAAACCGCCTGTGGTTAATCTGCTGCTGTCGGCTGAGCTGTACTGTCGTGCTGGGAGCCTCATCCTGAAGAGTGATGCTGCAAAACCCCTTTTGGGCCATGATGCTGTGATCCAGGCACTAGCACAGAAAGGTCTTTATGTCACTGACCAAGAAAAGTTGGTAACGGAACGAGATCTGCACAAGAAACCCATACAGATGGTGAGTCTATAGGCCCAAGATTACTGTGAGGTGTGGCTTTTGAGTGTGACTTGTATTGTAAAACAGGGATATACATTTAGAAACTGGATTTTCATCTCTGCCTAGAGTTTAAAAACTATCTTTTTCTTAGAAACCTCACTTCCAAATTAAGAAAGATTTTAATAAAGTATTTTGGGATGTTTGTTGCCGCTCTAATACCTGGAAAAAACAATTACATAATTTTCAACTACTTTAAAATGATTTTATTCAATTTAAAATTATATTTTTTCCATACAGACTAGTAAGAGATGGAAATAAAATTCTTGACCTTATTCTTATTAGGAAAGAGATGAGATTTGTAAGTGTCATCTATGTGCTTGAGTGACCTCTTGGTAAATTTCTGCATATCATATCTTTTTAGTTTATTTAATAATATTAATTCATTTTTGTGATAAATACACAATAAGGAACTCAAGGCTGGCCTGGAGCAAGCATTCAGGAACTCAGTCGTGATAGTCTCTGGGGACAAATCTGGATGCACGCTCACTGTGTGCTGCTTCAGCCAGTTGTACTAGTTTAGCTCAAATTCACGAAATGCTGGGCATCCTCCAGAATGGCGCGAGGAAACCAGGTCTGCACACAGCGTTAAATCATGCGCTCATAGGAGGCTAGCTGTCTTAACACGAGAGGAAGCAGAGAGGTGTATGTAGAAAATATTCTGAGATGCCTACGAAATTATGAGATTGAAGAAGGGTGAACAAAATTTACCAGATTTAGTTCTGAGTGAAGCGATGACCTACTCTGCTTTCTGCTCATTATCTTTCTTTAAAAAAGAACAAACCCTACTTTATTACTTTCAAGGAATGGAGGATAATGTCTCAAGAAAAGTTTAGTGACTGAATTTATAGATTTATAATAGAATTATTAAGGATCTAACAATGTTTATTATCAGTTATGAGATTTTCAGCTTTCACTGATGGCTGTTTACCTTATGGCTACCCTCTGATTTTTGTATACCTGCTTTGTGTACGTGTCATACATCTATGTGAACAGTTTGCTGATACCGGGATGGGCAGAATTCTACTTAGGGCTCCAGCAGTCTGATGCCCAGCCTTTCTAGAGTCGCAGCTACTAGTCGTATGCTCCTGCTTTGAGTATTTCCGCTTCCATTATTTCAAGGCCAAGTGGGTAGTTATAAACCACATCAATGACTTTGTGAATCTGTGTGCTAAATAGCTGCTCTTTCAGATACAGATACATGTTACGTAACTGAGTTGTCCTTAGAATAGGTTATCTATTTTATATCCTTCTCAATAAGAATGAAACAACGTGTTTTCCGCATTATTTTTCTGGTGCATTTTATGTGTGTGTGAAGATAAAATATGAAGATACTTGTATTTAAGAACGAGAGGATTGATAGGCTGCTAATTGCATCACAGTCAGGTTTCTTTCCAACAGTACTGATCCTGCTGATGACCATGAATGTATTTAAATCTGATTGTAGAAAACAATATTTAAGGAATGTAAGTTAAGTGATACGGAATTTCTGTTTCTCTGGTTCTGACTACTGTCTTTGGATTGTTAGAACACTGCCTATTTGACTACATCATCTTGACGCTTTGCACTGTCACTTATCGACCTGTTTAATTGTATACTTGCAGTTTTTGTCACAGTTTGATTTAATGTTTTCCAATTGCTATGAAATTTTTGATGATATTGTAATAATACTATTTTTCTAAAACCTATGTGAGTAAAAACTTTGTTCCTTAAGAAACTTTTGTTTGATTTTAGAGTAATAAGAGTAATGAGTATCAGTTTCCTTCTTTATCCTGCTATTTGGGAGGTATAATGAAAAATAGTGTGTTTAACTGTACTGATTATATTGATTCCCTCCCATCCCTCATCTTGATCGTCTAAATTATTTTACTACTTTGGGGATATTTTATTTCTGTATGCTCCCTCTTAGCTTTTTGGGAAAAAAATTATGTAGTGGTAGCAAAAGTATTAAAAGAACAAGGCAAACTTGACTAATCAATTTTTATTATTTTTGGGGTGGGTAAGGATTGAGAGAAATGCCTTTTTTTTTTCTTTTTAACGTTTCTCAAGTGCTGTTTTTTTTGTTTTGTTTTAATTTTTTTTGTGTGGGTATTATTGATGTACACTCTTATGAAGGTTTCACATGAAAAAACAATGTGGTTTCTACATTTACCCATATTATCAAGTCCCCACCCACACCCCAATGCAGTCACTGTCCATCAGTGCAGCAAGTTGCCAGAGATCCACTATGTCCCTTCTCTGTG